TATATATATATATATATATATATATATATATATATATTGTCACATAACCATGAACTAAAAGAGCGCGATTTGCGAAACAAACGGCAGTATATATACACAAAGTAATAATAAAAATAAAAATAATAAAAATGTTCGGGGCCGGTACCGAGCGTTTGGGTTCCGTCACCAAGCGCGAACGCGATGCTACGCAGCTGTCTACTACTGAGGTTTAGAATTGAAGTTGCAGAATACTCTATAGATGCCTCCCACCAACCCATCTTTTGAAAAACCATTAGACTGCTGAGATTGGGATATGTGAAATTCTGACTATAGTGAAATATAGCTCCTCAGGGCACTTGCACCTTCAAGGCTAACCAATCGCGAAAATCAGGCCATTCTAGGTAAATACTAAATAATAAATACCCAAACGAACCCCGGAAACCTCCGCCAACACAGTCCTCTGCAAGAGAAACCAGATCTCTCTACCAGGCGGCACACCCCCAACAGGCCGGGTCACAGGGTTGCGCCACCTTGCCCCGCCTCTGGCCAGTGTCACTCTGGCTTTCAGCCCTCTGTTGGCCACAGGAAATCCCCGTCTAAGAAGTCCCCCAGATCTCCCTACCAGGCCTTACTCCCCAATAATTGGCTGGGTTACAGGGTTGTCCCACCTTGCCCCAGCTGTGGCCAGCCTTGGTCTGGCATCGATGCCATTCGCGAGCCATGGAACAGCCTCGGCTACGTCTCGAATAGGCTGCCGGGTACCCCAAAGGCTGAGTCCTTTCCACTCCAAAGCCATAAAACTTCAGCAGTGCAAAAAGCGCCCCGAAGAGGTTGAAGAAAAAAACGCCGATCAGGCAACACTTCTAGGAAGCCGGGATTACCAACAATCCTACAGATAATTGGAAAAAAAAAAAAAAAAATTCCTTGTAGTTCAGAAAATAATATAGATGGGAGGTTAAACCACCAGTACTTGGCCCAGCTATTGGCCGGGGAAAAAAACAGAGTAGAAACGTTTCTAGTCGGATGAATTTGGGCGCTCCTGAAGTGACCCGTACGTTTCCTGAAATCATGGCTTGTTAACGTGCACGAGTTCAGGAAGTACTGGTGGTTTAAGTAAAAACCACCAGTACTTGGCCCAGCTATCGGTAGTGGAAAAAAATATAGAGTAGAAACGTTTCTAGTAGGATGAATTTGGGCGCTCCTGTAGTCACCCATACATTTCCGAAAACTGTGGCTTGTGTATGGGCACGAGCCGCAGGACTTTAGGAAGTACGGGTGGTTTAAGAATTCCAGCTATGAAGAATTTAAGTAGAAGTAGGAATTCCTAAATTTCAAATTTCAAAGTTCAAAATTAAACCATAGAGTTTGATTTCAAAGATTAGAAGTTATAATTTTTTTAGATTAGGAATTTTTCGGAATTTAGTAATTTACTAATTTAGTAGTTTAAGAATTTTTTTGGAATTTAGAACATCAGAGTCGATAAGAGTTTGGGTCCTTTGGGATTTTTCAATAATGAAGATTGTAAGACTACTGTGGTTAGACCGTAATTCCAGAGGATACAATAAAATTTTCAAAATCAAGTAGGTATGACAAGCAGCCTAATTGGCAGTGGTCAGGGAGTAGGGTAGGGCCGCTGGTGCGGGCCGAGGGGGGGGGCTAACTCAAAGACCAAGCATTTTGCCAGCAGGCAGGCCTCCCATCTAACGACTTTGAAATTCGTTTAAATAAAAATTGCTGATTAATTTAATGATAATTGCATACCCATAAGTTCATAACTAATGATAAATCAAAGGATGTGTGCGGAGTTGTCTTGCAAATTAACTGACGTGGTTCTCGTCGGGCGAAACCAGTAAACCTGCTCATAGATAGACCGATTGTTCTTTCCCGAGAAAACAGGTTGATCGTTGTAGATGAGAAGTCCCTGCTCTTCCTCGAAGGAGGAAGGTCGATGGCCTGATCTCCGAGCGCGATCAACAAACAAGCTCGCCGCTGCATGTGTGACGGCTATGGCGTCCGCACCGCGGGGCACACCCGGTGTTCCCCATTCGAATGCATTCTTCTCTGGATGCCATTGCACTGCCGTCACCGGGTAGTTGTGTGCCTCTATTGTGGACGCGTACGGCTTTCCCTCAGAATCAACTGTTGTGGTAAGCATCCTAAAGAACTTGGCCAAACTGGAATTACTCTTCTTGTGGAAATGTCGAGGCGACACACCAAATGAGTGACTCATCAACACCAGGGGCTTTGAGGCCATGCTGTCCGTCAAGCATGGAGGCATCCACCGGAACAAACTTTCTCGTTTCGCCGAACGGTCCGTGAATATTAGTGTTGCACCCACATTCTTATGACGGAAACTCTCCAAGATGCCATCGACCCCCTGCTGGCCAACGATCACCGCCAGCTGCTCAAATCCTTGGCAAGTTCCATGTATGGGGAAGAAATCTCCCCTGTCATTGGCCTCTATAGCCAAGTTGAATAGCCATTCTCCGACCTTAGAGAACGTACTATTGCTGAGGTCCGAGTCTCCGCCGGGGTAGAGAAGACCGTTGATGGAGTTGAAAACTCTGCGAAGTTCCTCCTGCGGGGCATTGTAGATTACGGGAACAGCTCGTGCACCGCCTGCTTCAACAAACTTCACGTAAGAGGCAGCAATATAAGAAACATCGTCTGGTCCTTGAGGCTCCTTGTCATGGAGCCCAAGTCCTGGCTGGGATAAAATCCCAATCAGTGGCCTAGGGTTTGGCAAGATGTCACCCCCCCCACCATGGCCGGAATCGCAGAACTGGGAAAAGCAGTGTCTCCCTGTGAGTCGAGAATGATAACCACTCATGTGCCTCTCCTTCTCCCTTCCCCCCTCCGCTTCGCCACTGCTCTTCTCCTTCAAGTTTACCTCCTGTACATCATCATCAAAGACGATGGCTTTCCCGCCATCGACAGCCACTTGCCAATGGATGAGCCTGGTAGTCAAATCGTTGATAAAATGCGAAGGACGAGTAGTGCTGGAGATTGCAAGTCCTGCCAGGAGCATCCATGGCAGCACTACCAGAAATATCAGAGCCAACTGCCCTTTTACCCCACCGCCATAGCCATTCTCATTCCTGGTCTTCTTCTCCAATGCTGAAGCTGACACCATGGCTTCGGCATCCACAGCTTCTGCACCATGGCAACCATAGACGGCTGACTGTAGCAAAGGCAGGGGCACACAGAAAGAAAGACAGGGTTACTTTTACGGGGAACTCGACACTGAAATGATTTGTGAACAGCAGGAGGACAATAAACTGTCAGAGAGTTTGTAGCAAGAGAAAGAGCCAAATACACACTCAAAAGAGAGCCACCATTTTCTGTCTAAATTAAAATTGAACATGCGGGACTCGACATCAAAGTAGAGTCCTTATACACATCTAGATGTGTATAAGAGACAGCCCCCAAAACCCCCCAAATCCCCAAACCCCCCCAAGTTCTCACAACCATATCTCCCGAATCTTCCATACACGGGCCCAGAAGTGCGGGCCCAGAAGTTTCTCTTCTGACTTGTGCTGCAATTCACATATATCCACTCAGAGGTGGTTTAGGCCTTGGGCCCTTGGCTGTAAAACCCTAAACCCTGAACCCTAAACCGTAAGCTGCATCAACACAAATCCAACACCCCAGCCTTCACCCATTTCAACGAATAAGCAACACCAATCGTTGGTTAACAGACAGCAAACCCGAAAGCGTGTAACGGTGTAACACCTTTCCTTTTTGTTGTTCTTGTTAAAAGAACAGATGTGGGGGACCAAAACCTAAATTAAATCCCCACAAGAAGGGCCACAACCAAACAAGCAAAATTCTAACTGCAATGTACATATTGCATGTGAAAGCGATAAACCTAAGATGCAGGCAGGGCCCCAGGGGACATAAGCTATTCCCTATGTTACACAAGCATGATCCTGGTTCCAAACTGTGCCAGATACCAGCATGATGCTGGTCCCAAACTAGGTCAGATACCAGCATGATCCTGGTCCCAAACTGGGTCAGATACCAGCATGATCCTGGTCCCGAGCTGGGTCAGATACCAGAATGATCCTGGTCCCAAACTGGTTCAGATAACAGCATGATCCTGGTCCCAAATGGTTGAAAAGTCTACTGTTTGAAAAATAGCAAAACAACCCATAATACCAAGAGCTAATCCAAAATCACCTACGGTCAGATAACAGCATGATCCTGGTCCCAAACTGGGTTGGGTCCTGGGACTGTCCAAACTCCATCTAGACAACCGCACACCTGATTGAATTTCTCGTTGCAATGCAAACGCAATAAATGTAAGCAAAGGGCCATCAGACTATGCTTTATGTTACACCTAACATGAACCTGGTCCCAAACTGGACCAGATCCCGAGAATGTACCAGGCCTGGCGAAAGTAATACCCCAGAATCCCAGACTGACAGTGTGTATTAGCGGCGCGCCCCCTCTCAACACAGAGCAACCCTGGATCCGGCAGTGGCAGTGGCATGCGACGAGGCAAGCGCAGAACAAGTAAGCTCAAAACAGAGCAAGCAAGTTCAGGCGTGCTTAGCGTTCCTGTTTTTTTCCTTCTTCTTCGATTCCTACGTGGAGGCTGGCATGAGTCAAGTTTCTCGCATTCAAGCAAGTTTGGGCATACTCACACTGCGACTTTCCTGAATGTACCTGAGCCTGATCGCAGCCAGATTCCTTCAGAAATGTCCCAAGTGCTGTTAGTTACTCGTCGGCATGCAGTTATCTTGTCAACAGTTGAATTCACTGGGGCAAGGCTCATTGAGTAAATCGGTGCTATGTGCTATCATGTGCCTGTGCTATTGTGTGCTATGTGCTATTGCGTGCTATGTGCGATTGTGTGCCTATGCTATTGTGTGCCTGTGCTAATGATATATGCTTATGAAGGCCCCCTTCCATTGATGACTCATTACGGAGTCTCCACCTCTCTAAGCTTCTCCTTTTTGAAGAGCAACACCATAACCCATAACCCTAATATTCACACCACTGCAAATGAGCATAAAAGGCCTCATTGGTACCACACGGTTCACGACATTGACCATTGTAAAGCGCCCCCCCAAAAAGAAAAAGATGGAAGCCTGATTTTAAATGGCCTGATACATCACTGTTATCGGGGGAGAGGGGGGGGGACCCGAGGGGTGCATATGGCAAGGGAGAGAGGTGTGGACCACCTCTCGCAATACTGCCACTGTTCAGATATTTCGGAGATCAGAATGTACCTGGACAGTAGAATCATAAAGAGCGTGAGCTGTATACGAGGATGCTACATTGCCACGCACCCACCCTCATTTACCCCCTATCACTTTTCATGGCATCCCTGTCCCTTACAGCCTGTACAGCCGCACACCCACCCTCCTTTACCCCCTATCAGTTTTTTCTGCAGAAGTCCTGTCCCTTACACCCAGTACAGCCTGCCATCTTCACCTGAATACAACTTGAATGCCCGATATTACTGCGGTATCTAGACTGACTGTTGGCCCAAATGCAGCTATGATCACCAGGCATTCTATGCGGGTGGAGACGGCAGCCCCCACCTACCCACCAACACAACCAGTATCAGTACTTCACCCCTCCCTCCCATTACCCTACCATCTTCCCCTGAACACAACATATCTTTCCAGTTAGATGCAGCGTCATATGAGGATGTGTTGTGTTCGGGGGAACACGGTAGCCCTCAAATCGATGTGCTATACTTTCTGCGCTCACTGCTCAGAATAGCTGCGATATATGGCTCGGCATTCTAATCCCACCAACAACGCATATCCAGGATAAACTGTGTCTTGGGAAAAAAAACTGCAGCGCGCTTACTGCAAACGACACACACACCCAATGACTAAGCATAAACTAATGCTACAATTTTTGCAGATGTATCTGACCGCATTTACGAGCGGACAATTTTTGCAGATGTATCCGACCGCATTTACAGGCGGGTGGAGTTGAAAAGGTCCTACAGTAGTGCCGGTGGGTATAGCCTAAGAGGCTAAGATGACGGCAAGCAATATACTTGTGGATAAATACGACCACTATCCAGTCACACATAACATTTCAGTGAATGTGACTACACTACCACCAAGTGACATTCACTTGAGAGAGAATCTTGGGGCATAATCAAGAGAGGACTCACTCGAAAGGATTTGTTCGTCTGGGGACGTCCCCCCTCTGGGTATCTAACAGTTAGCTAACCAACTAACCGGAACATGGAACCGGAACATGGAACCCGAACACCGAACCGGAACGAAACCGGAACACGGAACCAGAACACGGAACACGGAACCAGAACACGGAACCGGAACACGGATCTGGAACACGGAACCGGAACCCGAACACGGAACCGGAACACGGAACCCGAACACGGAACCGGAACACGGAACCCGGAACCCGAACACGAGAGCACCATGTGTGTTGGCCTGGACTGCCTGGTTGATACTAGGGCAGTGAATTGGGCCCAGAGTGGCCCGGTCAGAATGCAACTCGAAGTGAAGAGCGCCAAGTGCATGATACATGATGGTCTGCATGACTTGGCAGTTTACATGTCCAGAGGTACATTGCAACAGCAACATTTCAGACCATGCAAATTTGTGGCACCTAGGTACATTGTTTCATGTAAGAACTCTCTCTCTCTCTCTCTCTCTCTCTCTCTCTCTCTCTCTCTCTCTCTCTCTCTCTCTCTCTCTCTCTCTCTCTCTCTCTCTCTTTACAAGAACTAAGCTATATTCTTCTCTCAAATTAATACCTACCACTACTTCCTAGCCTATATACAGGGGACCCCTGCAAGCATAGCTACCTCTCACAATCAAGGGGATGCATGTTGTCACCCACCCCCTTTTTTTTTCTTTTGGGGACAATGCTCCGATCTATTTGTGTGAGGCAACATGTGCTAGGAACCAGGCCCAGCGTCCCCTTAGAAAATATATTACAAAAGCTAAGCTATATTTTTCTCTCAAATTCACCTTTTCTCTCCCTACCTATCACCACTTCCTATCCTATACAACGGGGCCCCTGCAATCGTAGCTACCTGGTTTAGGGTTTAGGGTTTATGGCACGCTGTCACCCACCTCTTTTTTTTTCTTTTTCTTTTGGGGACAGTGCCAGGATCTGTTCGTGTGGAACAATAAGTACTGGGAGCCACGGCCAGCGTCCCTTTAGAAAATATATTGAACAATTTTGGAGGTACAGGGGCCATTACGGTAACTGGGCTTCAGCTATAAATGAACAGTTGCTGAAAATCTAAAGATCTTAGAAGAGTCAAGAAGCGAACGAGTACCGGAAACTACCCAACCATCACCCACTACCTCCACAGCAAAAGGGGAAGGGAGAGGAAACCAACCTCTTCCGCCATGGAAGTAACTAACCACTTGCCACTATCTGCCTCTGGCAAGAGTCAATACCCTCCGTCAACCCCAGCCCGAGAATAGCGCAACCCTCAATTACTGCCCTTTACCCCCCCTGATGCAGCACTTCCCTCCAAATGCTACCTCCACAGGATAGGACTCCCCCTTATGCTGGCAACTAACGCACAGCCGCAGGATAAAGAGGCTTCACCACACAGCCACTGAAATCACCCCCTCCCCAATCGAAGAGAAAAAACACCCCCCCTGCCCTTGAACTGCACCCCCTGAGAGTAGCCACCCTCCTCCTCATCGGCCCCAGCCTCCTAGACAGTCAGCCCCACTCCCTCAGAGGCATACAGTTCCCACCAAAAGTACATCCCTGCAGAGCAGCAGTTCCCCATTCCCTCCATCCCATTCTCCCCAAATGAGACAGCCCACTTAACACCACTCCCCGCGGAGAGCAGCGCCCCTTGTCTCTATCTGCCCCCACCAGAGCTGGTCCACACCCCAAAAATCAGCCCCAGCCCCGAAATAGAGCAAACCCTACCATCTGCCACTACCCTACCCAGGACCAACACCTCCCACCTTGTGTAGTCCTGGGAGGATGGGGCTCTCCTCCCCCAGGCCAAAAGACACAAGCCTGGAGAAGATGCTCCAGAAAAAAAAACAAAAAAAATGCGAGGTGCAGACCCCTGTCTACCTGCGTAGCACAAAGAGCATGTTCGGTGCCCCACCAAGCATCCGAACATGTTCGGATGCTAGGCCGAGCGGGAACCGAACATGTTCGGAAAAAAAAAGAAAAAGCGTCCTCGTGTGGCCGGTACCAGGGCCATTT